ATGGCATCTTCTTCTTTGAGAAACTGTAGGAGAATTTACCTCCCCTCAATTCCATGTCTGCTTCAATGAGTTGAACGAGTAATTGTTTTTGTTGTGGACTGGGGTATTTTTTCCCCTCCATGTTAAAATACAAAATTATCACATATAAAACAGCACAACCCACTAGTGAGTTATGTAAATATTGTAAACACAAAAGTTTTGAAACAACCGAAAAAAAATGCAAATTATGACACTGACAGACAGTCAACTATCAAACTGATTATTTTTGCACTAAACGTTCCGTTTTAACTTAAATAATTAGGTTTAGTGAACGTTTTATGACAAAATCATTCATTCACTCATAACTACCTAAAATGGAACGTGCGATTCTGCATAATGGTAACATTATCTTCATTCGACTCGACATTTTCGTGACATTTATTTCTATTTTGACTGAGAATACGGATTTCTGTGCAATTCGACATTTTTTGGTAGAGATAGAGATATTTTTGATAGACATAGAGATAGACTTACAATGTCGAACTCGAGATAAATGGCGAAAATCGAGAATTGGCCCCCTGGTATTCGTGTAGTAAACACAGCTGTTAGTTTGACGGGATATAGCTACCACGGCGTGCGGTACAGTCGTGTATCCGCTGTTTCTTCTCTGCTGTGTTCACAACAACCACTGCCGCGTACGAAAGCCCCTGAGCTCCGTGTATTGTGAGTACGCGTGATCCCACACCCGATCCGTATCCCTGGTTTTTAAGGGATTCCTATTCTACTTGAGTGTGAACCAGGTATAACGCGTTCAGAGGATTTTGGGTATCCGCGACACTGAAAAGCATTTTAAGTCAAGGGATCTCACACCGGACGCGGACGAATGTATATGCCACTGTACACAGTACTAAGAGCATATACTATTCTTGGCTAATAGCCACGATGTGTGTAGGGCGGTTGTAAATGAGGGGGAAGAGGTTGTCTCGGTCAATGAAGGGAAGTTGATTTATGTCACCAATCAGCAAAACTTCTTTGGCCTGAGTTAATCGGGCCGCCATCACTATGGCCCCAAAGTGATTCATGAGAGCCTCATCTACTATGATTCGGTGGCAGCTCTCTTGCTCTTTTAATCCGTTCACTAAAATAGACGCCATTGTTCGGACTTTGGATTTGAGTAATCCTCCGATTCGGCAGGATAGTTTGCCTCTGAGGTCATTTGCTGCTTCAGTTGTTGTGGTGACGATTAAATCCCTTTCCGCTTCGACTTCGTTTATTATCCATGTAGTTTTGCTTGCTTGAGAGACGCTACGGCGTCCTCACCTACCGCCTGACGCAGGTCCTCACCGGACATGGGAGTTTCGGGAGGTACCTGTGTCTGATGGAGCGGGAGGAAACGCCCGGGTGTCATCACTGCGAGGACCGCCCTGAGGACACGGTGGAACACACGGTGGGAGAATGCCCTGCGTGGGCTGAGCACCGCCGTGCGCTCAGGGAAGTGATCGGCGATGGCGACCTCTCGCGTCCGGGCCTAGTGCAGGCCATGATGCGGAGCGAGGGGGATTGGGATGCCGTCTCCTCCTTTTGCGAAGCAGTCATGCTAGCTAAGGAGGAGGCGGGACGCGTGAGGCAGCGAAGCGCTGCCTCCTCGCAACCCAGCCATCGCGAAGGACACACCGGGCGTCGGGGATCGCGGGACGATCTCCGGCCACCGTAAGCGCGGGCCTGCGGACGGCGAGCATGGGTGGCTCCCCGTCCGACCAGAAACAGACCCGAGCGTACGGCGCGTCGCGTTCCGCGCGCGCCTCAAAGAGCCATCAGACCACCACAGATGGGGCCCAATAGGGCCGATGCCGATTCGGAGTCGCGGAGAACCTAACGGGTAACCGGGGCTCCGGCTCGACGTGCAGGAGAAGGAACGGGGTGGTTTTTTGTCAGTAAGAGTCTGACACTCCCTTCCGGCTCACCCAGGCGGGAGCAGTCATTCGATGATTTTCCCCCCTTAAAAAAAAAAGCTGCCATACTGCGACTTATAGAAGCTCCTCTCAATACTCTCGATTTACTGTTGTCGTATATGACCGCCTCCGCAGCCTCGAGTCTATCATTCAGTAACAGCTCGTTACCCTGCAGATATGTCTGCAGGATCGTTTTGCAAGTTCGCAAGTTGACTTGTTTTGTTGTACTATTACTGCGACAAACTCGAGGAAGGCGTTTATGAGGTGGTCTCTGGGAGTGGTAGCACGGCGAAACTTCGGCAGAGAGACGTGACCCATGGATTGATGAGTAGGTACTTTATATCCAGGTGGTATGTGATTATCAATAAGGATCTGATGATGAAGTACTACCATAGTTGAGGTAACTCCTCAACGGTTAACAGTAGCTACATTGTGTTTGGGTTTGATTAATTCATTAACGAGGACTTTATACCTAGGTGGTATGTGATTGCCAATAAGGGTTTGATGATGAAGTACTACCATAGTCGAGGGAACTCCTCAACGGTTAACAGTAGCTATCTTGTGTTTAGGTTTGATTAATTTGTATTGATGAGAACTTTACACCTAGGTGTGGTGTGGCTGTCACTAAATGTCCAATGATGAAGTAGTACCTACGATAGCTAAGAGAACAATGGTTAACATTAGCTACCTGGTGTTTGAGCTTGAATATATGTATTGATGAAAACTTTGCACTGATGTGGATTGTACATAATATAAAATATTTTAGTACCTACTAAACTAAAAAGTATAAAATAAAAATAAAAAACTGCGTTTAAAAAAATCGACTTCAAAAACAAAAACAAACGAAAAGTAAAAACTAAAAAGCAAAAATAACTATTATTGGTCATACGTACTTATATATAGCTTACACATAGAGATGGGCACTGGGAAAAAACCCAAAAGGAAAAAACCCAGGTTTTTTCCCATTTGGGAAAAAACCCGGTTTTTATGTGGGAAAAAACCCAATAGGCGGGAATTTTCATTTATAATGATCTTATTCTATTTTTATTTTCAGAACTAAATAAATAGGTACTTTGTGATGCGCATATACCTACATTCAATCAAAAAAGTATCGGGAATGGATGATTTGTTTATGGTTCCAAATTCAAATTTTTGTTTTTATGTTTTTGTTAGATTGGCACAACTGTTTTCCATTTTGGCGCGGAGTTTGAGTTGCATCTGTTATTTATATTAAATACAGCGCTGGTTTCAGAAATATCATATATAATGTATATTGTGAATTTCATAATGGACACAAATATCGATCAAAGAGTTTGTCTTAAATTTTGCATCGCCAATGGAATTTCGTGTTCGGAGTCACTAAAAATGTTACAGAAAGCTTACGGTGAATCGACTTTATCAAAAACTCGTGCTTATGAGTGGTTCAAAGCGTTCAAAAGCGGTCGAGATGTGATGGAAGATTTGCCTCGCTCTGGTCTGCAACTGTAGTTAACATCGCAAAAGTGAAGGAAATAGTGACTGAAAATCCCCATTCAACTCTGAGAGAGATAGCCGCCGAACTTTCTGTATCTCACGAGTCGATCCGTACCATTTTAACTAATCTATACTATACATTAAAGGGTATGAAACATGTTGCTGCTCGACTAGTTCCAAAAGATCTAAATTTTCTCCAAAATCTCAATCGCATGAAAGTCGCTGAGGATATGCTAGAACGAGTCAGTTTGGACCCAACATTCATGAAACGCATTGTTACTGGTGACGAGACGTGGGTTTATGAGTTTGGCATGCAAACTAGTCAACAAGCTTCGGAGTGGCGCCTTCCAACTGAACCGAAACCGAAAAAACCACGCCAAAGTCGATCAAAAGTCAAAGTCATGTTGACTGTTTTCTTTGACTATCGCGCTGTTGTGCACTCTGAATTCTTACCGGAAGGTCTAACGGTAAATAAAGAATATTATTTGAGCTTTATGCGGCGTTGAAGAGAGCAAATTCTACGAAAAAGGCCAGATTTGTGGAAAGAAAATTCTTGGATTTTGCACCACGAGAAAGCGCCTTCGCACAAGGCTATCATTGGTGGCATCAAGGTGAACGAATTTTTGAACACTCAACAAATACCATCCAGCAACCTCCATATTCACCAGATATGGCTCCTGCTGACCTTTTTCTTTTTCCTAAACTCAAATTACCACTTCGTGGCACCTGTTTTCAATCGATAGAAGACGTAAAGGAGAATTCGCGGCGAGAACTAAACTCAATTCTGGAAGCAGCGTTTAAAAAATGTTTTGATGAATAGATTATTCGTTGGCGCAAGTGTATCGTCTCTAAAGGAGCATACTTTAACTCGTTGAGTACCGTCATTACAGACAATTAAAGAACAATAGGTTGTGGTCACCGGTGACAGTTTAAAGGTGATAAAATAAATTTGGATGAATGACAGACATTTTTTGTATTATTGATCTTTTCCCGGTACTTTCTTGACAGAGTAGTACTTAGCACCAGCGTGTATAAGGCACTAGCTGTTGTCTGTTATTTGAAACGTTAAAATGTGTAGTCTATTTCAAGGACTAAAACATAACCAGCATTATTATAACACCATAAAGACGTCTTCTTGTTTTATAATAAGTTTTTACTGCGCTCTGTGATGGAATGTTAACAGCAGAAAAAATACCTAATAACTTTAAAGAATGTTTGACTATAATAATATAATTCAAAGAACGAGAGATACTCTTACTAACAATCACGGCGCCGACGTGAAATTACAAACTATAGGCTATTTTTTCGCTCAAGAAACGTATAATAGATACACATGCCGCATCAACAAAAGAGATGCTTATATTAATAGTTGATCGCTCTCTGTTCACACTACCGCATCTATAACTATACGCACTCATTCCCCGCGTGTTCCTACCTATACTCGTTACTCGGTGCCGGTGTGACAAATTTACTCCCTTAGGCTACTACAAATCTCAGTACAGAATCAATTCTGTACTATACTTAAGAACAGAATGGAGATGGGCAGCACACATTGACAAGACATAAATGTGAATAGGTTATTATAATAAATGAATATTGAAAGTTCTCGTTAATATTGGTTTATTAAGAAATAAATATTCATATAGGTAATAATACTCAAATTATTTTTAAGCGAAAAGAAACAGTTATTCCATGGTTTATAACATAAGCGTTGTGTATATCTGGTTAACAAGATAAAAGTTCAAATGTGTATCGTAAAACTAATATTTATTAAACAAATGACATAAGATGAATTTTAAGTGCACTTATTACAATTTATTGATTACAGTAATAGTGAAACTATATTCATGTTGTGGTCGGTCGGTGCGGATAGAGTTGCACTCTCTTGATAACCAATTATTACAAATCAATAGTAAACAATTTATCTTTTAATACAACAACATTAATTTTTAGTTGGTTGTAAACAGAATAGATATTTTTGTTCATATACCGCATTTATTGGTAAAGAAGACAGTGTTTAAAATAATTATTATACTAAACTCTTTAGTATCATTAGTTTTAAATGCTGAAATTATTCAATAACACTATGTAAAACACTAAAATAAACATAAAGAGTAAGCTTCTTGCTCCTAATTTAATGTGTTTACCTGAAACAAAAAAGTCGTGATTAGCGTCTTAAAACCTCTAGAAATTAATATATTGTTATGACTCTTATGAAATTGAACTTCTAAACTGGATTCTCTATAGTTAAAATGAAACTTGGGTTAGTTTTAATGAGAAAAAAAAAATATTTGGGTCAAGGCTCACAGGATTATTTTCGTACAGGTATTTCAAATACATGAGATCTATATCGTTTAAATAAGATTTATTATGTGAACTCCCTTTTTATTGAATAAAAATATATATTTTTTTTTATGTCATTTAATTATATATACTTACAATATCGTCAATCTTGAGTATAGCGCGCACAGTTTCAGTGGACAGCGCTAAAGCAGAGGCGGTGACGTGAAGTGGTTGCAGTACATGCTCCTGGCGCATGTCTGTGACGCGACCGCGCCGCACGTTGACACCAGCGTTTGATCCTGCACCGCTCTCCGCACCACCAGCGTGGGCCGCGCGCAGTTCCGTTACCGTCTCAATCGGATTCAGCCCTATTATTTCCGAATGAGATAAGCATAAGCACTAAGTAACATTATTTGTTTCATTGCAATCATATGTAACTCTACCTACCAGCATTCTCTGCAAGCGTGGAGGGCACAACTTCGAGAGCATCGGCATAGGCGCGAAGACAATAATGATCTGCGCCTGGTGCGGTCAGCGCAGCACGTGCTAGTGCTGCAGCCGCGGCCGCCTCGGGTGCGCCCCCGCCGGCCACTAGCGCGGGGCGACGTGCCACGCAGCGCACGGCACACAGCGCATCATGCAGAGACCGCGCGGCTTCAGCCACAACGGCACCACTAGATCCGCGCACAAGCACTGATACGGTACGTCCACCAGCAGAGCATCCACTCATCTACAAATACCAATATGTATTACCATTCACAGAATTTTGAATCACGTGGTCTAGTTAGGCACGAAAGTGCGTGTATGTTTATCACTATCAGGATAAATGGCCGAAGGGATCGGGATCAAAATTTGGAACAGAGGTAGATTATGTTTGGGTAACACAAAGGTTACTTTTATCCTCCGGGATCGCGGGCGAAGCCGCTGACAAAAGCTAGTAATATTATACAGAGAAATGTACTCACTTTGATATATTTACCAGCAGGCTCATTGACCTCTTCAACCAAATCAACATTAACGAGATTTTCAGCTGTAAAATGGTCCAGAGAAGCAATTGGTCTGCACCCTAGAGTTTTGCATACAAATTCTATATCCTCACGTTCAATGTCCTTAATTACCATTGTCTTAATTTTATCCAAGAAATGAATAGCCAAATCACTCAAAGCATCACTGCAAGAAAGAAAATTATAACTTATAATCTGCCACTCTTATCTATAGCCAAAAATACTTCTATCTAACTCTAATAAGGATTCTTACCGTAAAATAGATTTTTGCACCAAAAGGACATTGCAACCTGCTTTTTTAATTTGCTTAACAATATTCAAGATGTACTGACGTTCTTCCTTCAAGACACGGTCCATTGCAGCATAATCAGACACAATGACATTGTGGTCCATCTAAAAAATTAGAAGAATAAACATGAATTGAGTGTTTTCTGATTTGCATGCAATTGTAATTAAATGAAATATTGTACATATTATTATAAAATTGGATCTATATCAGAATTATGCACTCACATCTGTTTTTGGTGGAGAAATGCAGAACTGGATGAGTCCAACTTTGGCTTTCTCAATTCTATGTGGGCCATTGACATTCGAGGCACGATGTGGGATTACCAGCCCTTGAACCAATTCAGTGTCTTCCACTGTTCCTCCAATGCGCTCAATAACTTTGACGTCTCGCAAATCGACTCGTGCACCCACACCACCAACTATTGGTTCCATAACTGAAAAAATGTAACAGAAGAAATCAACAAACCATACACTCTATGTGGAATAACCGTATGGCAAAAATAAAAATAAGTAAGATTTTCAATTTCTTAAAATCTTACTGTTCCACAAAAAAGAAATCCACTAACCTGCCCGAATAGCCTGAACAGCAATAGGAGCTAGAATTGTTGAATGTTGTGAAACAACTTTAGAGTTGAGAGATGTTGCAGCTGCCTTCAGTAAAGCATCTTCATTTGACAAGTCCACTGGAGTAGCCATGTTTTCAACCACCTAATCAAAGAAAAAAAAAAAATAGGCTAATGGCTTGAAAGATTTTTTTTATATACTTAGGAAATATTTTATTTTTACGAAATAATAAACAGGAGTATTTACAAAAAATGCTTACCTGTAAAGCCATTTGTAATGCCTTCTGGAAACCATCAGAGATGACAGTTGGGTGAATTCCTTTCTGAAGCAGTTTCTCAGCAGCATCAAGCAGAGCACCAGCAATCACTACTACTGATGTAGTGCCATCACCAGCTTCAATGTCTTGGGCACGGGATAACTCCACCAACTGAATATTAATTAAATTGTTACACTATTGTGTATTATGAACTCAAATAATTACATTTTTATGTTATTGATACAAATTGAGTTACTGTGGGTTTGTGTAAAAAAAAACCAGGATGCAAAAATAAAATATGTAACAGAATCAGTAAAAGCATTTTGTAAAGCAAAATATTAAGACATTGATAAAAATTATGAATAGTTTTTAAGCACAATTGGAAATAGGTAGTGTATGAGCCACCATGCGTATATTAAAGAGTTGTTACAGAAACAGATTTAAAATATAAAGATAAAATTATTTAAGTTACAATATTTACCATTTTAGCAGCTGGGTGAATCACACTCATTTGCTTCAAAATAGTGGCACCATCATTGGTAATAGTTACCTCACCATTGCTGCTTTGGATCTGTAAGTATTTGATTCATAAAGTAATAAACAACCAATAATGTCAAAGCTAAAATAGGTAAAAACAGATATGACATTAAATTACCATTTTATCCATACCACGAGGGCCCAAGCTCGTACGAATAGCATCAGACACAGCTGAAATTAATGTAAATTAAGATAATTATAGACCTTGGGACCTTTCTGGACCAGAGTGGCAATAGACAGAGTGCAATGGAAGCAGTTGGACGAGGCCTATGTCATAAGACACACCGAACTGAGGGACATTTTATAAAAACAAAACAAACAGAAAGAAGAAGAAAGAAAACCAATTTATTTCTGCACAGATCACACATAACATAAGGTTACCTAAAAAAATTAAATATAATATAAAGAAGGTAAACCTAGGTATCATAGAAATAATAGAAATATACATATAACTTAAAATACCAAGGTTCAAAGCTAACCAAAATGAAGCCTTTTCCACAGTCTACACACTGAGTTAATTGCTAATGATAGAATAACTACTATTATCTGTGGACTTATGGTCCACAGATAATAGTAAAGGAACACTTTAACTCGTCGAGTACCGGTTTTGTAGACACAATTATAGAACAATAGGTTGCGGTCACCGGTGACCGCTTGGTGTTTGACAGTTTAAACACTGTAAAAGTTTAGAATAAAGGACTATAATTATTATTATGTATGTCTATACCATTCATGGGAAGATAATTAAAATTTTATCAAGTTTTGTTATTTTGTATTTACATAAAATTGCATGACCCTCCACTTATTTATTTTAATACTCTTTTCTACACCAGTGAAATATAAACACATTATTTTTCAGTTTTATGAACTTACTAGCTGTAGCCCGCGACTTCGTCCGTGTAGAATAATGACTTCTGGCAGAATTCATCAGAATCGATTCAGTGTCTAAGTGAGGTTTATTGTGCAATAAATTTATCGTGATTTCAAAAAATCAATAATCTCGCAGGTATTTTACTAGTACAGAGCCCGTTCCCGTAAGGTTTGAGTAATTAAAACTATTCTATCCATTGTACCGTATCTCTCTAAAATGAGTTCAGTGGATAAGAGATAAAGACTTCTGTGATAAAAACTATCATACATCATTTCCCAGCTCTAAATTTATCATTTCACTACATTCAGTGATTTGACTCAAAAAGACTCAATGAAGAATCATTGAATCTATTGAATCTAGAAAGATTCAATAGACTCAATGGCTAAGAAGATTTATAGAAAATCTCATCCCCTTAGGGATGGAATTTATCAAAATTCTTTCTTCAGAGATATCTATAATATAGTAGCTGCATAGCATGCAAAATCTCAGCCAGGAATCTCAGATCGGTTTAAAACTTACAAGTTTCATACAAACTTTCATCCCCTGTTTTACCCCATCACGGGTGGAAATGATCAAAATCCTTTCTTAGCGGATGCCTACTTCATAACATCTACCTGCATTCCAAATTTCAACCCGATAGGTGTAAAACTGACGAAAGTTGCATACAAACACTCATCCCCGATTTTACCCCCTTGGGGGTGGAAATGATCAAAATCCTTTCTTAGCGTATGCCTATGCCATAACATCTACCTGCATTCAGCCCGATCCGTCCAGTGGTTTGGGCTGTGCGTTGATAGATCACTATAATAATATCAGTCAATCAGCCAGTCAGTCACCTTTGAATTATACATATAGACTAGCGACCCGCCCCGGCTTCGCACGGGTGCAATATGCATGTATTATATATACAAACCTTCCTTAAGAATCACTCTATCTATTAAAAAAAACTGCATCAAAATCCGTTGCATAGTTTTAAACATCTAAGCATACAGACAGACAGACAGCAGATAGCGACTTTGTTTTATACTATGTAGTGATAGATTTGTAAAAACAAATTATTCATTTTGTTAAAGTTATTTAGATGAATAATAAAGAAGATAAATAATCTTATATCTTATCTACACAAATAGTAAACAGAGGAAAAATTTGATTTTTTGTTTGTTTGAATTGAATCTACTCCGAAGCTTCCAGACCGATTTAAAAATTATTTTACTGATAGTATCCTATATTATCGATGATGAACATCACACAACAGGCTATTCTATTCAATGAGATAAAAACTGTCTTAAACTTCTGGGTCTCTCTATTTTTAAATTTATTTGAGTGAAATTCGGTATGACGATAGTTTGAGACTCGGAAATGACCACTGTACCTATTTGATTGGAATTCAAATGGAGTTTTAATCACTGAAACCTCACAGGAATGGCCACTGAGTAGAGAAAATATTTGTGGGTTGTTTATTTTTTGAAATCACCAAAATTAACAACATTAACTATAAATATAACTGAATCGATACTTATGAAATTGATACTGATGTTTCATACCATTGGATTTATTTTAATTTTTCCAATTTTTATAAATTACCTTGGAAAAATCCAAAATTTGCCAGGAGTCATTATCCGCCGACGAAGTCGTGGGGAACAGCTAGTTTGCCGCTAATCTCAGGAACTACTGGTCCGATTTAAAAAATTATTTTTGTGTTGAACGCTATAGGCTACATATCATTACGCTATGATCAATAGGTATTCGTATATGTTTAGGACATAAGAAGAAAGCTCTATTTTCATGTCAATATTTGACATTTATTTGTATTACTTCTGAGAATTCCAACTAAAATCCAATAAAATAAACCACAAAGTATCATCAATTCATGGTCATGCATACTTGCTTTGTAACACATGATACCCTTCTGCCATGTTAAAATGCAGAAAAAACTAAGTGTTTTAAATAAAAAACTAAATACTTATTAGGAAATTGATATCCCATACGAGTTACACAACGACTCGTATAGATCAAATAATAAATAACCAATACGGGATAACCAATTCTTAATAAAACGTATAAAATAAAAAAGATTTATGTAGATATACCATAGTGTCTATGTCTAAATCACGAGTTATTTCGGTTTTATGGTATAGATTTCTATAATTATAGAACAAAACCTTCGGTTTTCAGGCTATCATTGATTATTGATAATCAATTAACATTCATCTTTTTATAAATACTTAAAAATCTTCAATTTATATTGCAGATGTTTTTACCTTTAGCGGCGCCTATGTTACTCAGCCGTATATCAGTTGGTTTGCTTTTATCTTTATATACCGCTGAATTAACTTTAGCAGAATCACCACCAGCTTTCGGAGCCATGATTATAAACTTATTTATTTAATCAAACACAATGAAATTCAAGATGAAATCGGATTAAAATATCTTTTGGGATATTTTCATTTGTTTCACTCACTATCACCGATTCACCGAACTTGAGCTTGACAGATTAACAGTATGACAATTTGACACTGTCAATTTGTACAATGACAGAAGTCACGCATTATTTTAGATGCGTGACCACAAACAAATCGTTTATATTTTTTTATTAAAGAGTTTGGATTTGGCTATGTATTGGTCAACATCAAGCAAGTAATCAATGATGTTGAAAAAAGGTGGTTACAATATCTTGAAAGAAAGACTGTGTCTCTTTTTCAGTGGTTTCAACTCCCTAGACATAAGTCTAGGGAGAAATTCTAATTTAGTATAATTACTCTGTTTACAACAACTTTGACAGTTGCCTCTATCAAGTATTTCTAACATAAAGCCGACTTCGATACGAGGGGTAGTTGTGAAGAAAAAAAAAATTCGACCTTTTGGAATATCCGTATATTCGAAAAAGACTTTCTTTAAAAAAACTAAAATTACTAATGCCCTGATAAATGTCAATATCTACATAGATACCTATTGACATTTATCTATATATTTTATTATTGTTACATATTCATTTATTTAACATAAATACATATCTATGTTAACAATTTGTGGTATTCAGCCAAAGAGTATAATTTGAATAAAAGTACTAGGTAGTGGTTACCAAACACTTGTATTCCGATTTATTGTACAATAAAATTTACGATTCAATGGCACGGGTCAAATTGATACAATTTAATATAAATTCTTTACACTTATACTATTGGCGGAGAATCTTAACACTGCGATTCAGAAAACGATCTCAAATAAAAAGCACCATCTATGAACGAATGTTGGAACACTTGTTCTCTGAATCGTGGGTCTCTTATAGAGATGGGCGCTGGGAAAAAACCCAAAGGGAAAAAACCTGGGTTTTTTCCCATTTGGGAAAAAACCCGGTTTTTATGTGGGAAAAAACCCAACAGGCGGGTATTTTCATTTATATTTATTTATTTAAACATTCACTCAAAAATGTATCGGGAATGGATGATTTGTTTATGGTTATATCAAATACAGCGCTGGTTTCAGAAATATCATATTATTATATAATGTGTATTGTGAATTTCATAATGGACACAAATATCGATCAAAGAGTTTGTCTTAAATTTTGCATCGCCAATGGAATTTCGTGTTCGGAGTCACTGAAAATGTTACAGAAAGCTTACGGTGAATCGACTTTATCAAAAACTCGTGCTTATGAGTGGTTCAAAACGTTCGAGATGTAATGGAAGATTTGCCTCGCTCTGGTCTGCAACTATAGTTAACATCGCAAAAGTGAAGGAAATAGTGTCTGAAAATCCCCATTCAACTCTGAGAGAGATAGCCACCGAACTTTCTGTATCTCACGAGTCGATCCATACCATTTTAACTAATCTATACTATACATTAAAGGGTATGAAACATGTTGCTGCTCGGCTAGTTCCAAAAGATCTAAATTTTCTCCAAAATCTCAATCGCATGAAAGTCGCTGAGGATATGCTAGAACGAGTCAGTTCGGACCCAACATTCATGAAACGCATTGTTACTGGTGACGAGACGTGGGTTTATGAGTTTGGCATGCAAACTAGTCAACAAGCTTCGGAGTGGCGCCTTCCAACTGAAGCGAAACCGAAAAAACCACGCCAAAGTCGATCAAAAGTCAAAGTCATGTTGACTGTTTTCTTTGACTATCGCGCTGTTGTGCACTCTGAATTCTTACCGGAAGGTCTAACGGTAAATAAAGAATATTATTTGAGCTTTATGCGGCGTTGAAGAGAGCAAATTCTACGAAAAAGGCCAGATTTGTGGAAAGAAAATTCTTGGATTTTGCACCACGAGAAAGCGCCTTCGCACAAGGCTATCATTGGTGGCATCAAGGTGAACGAATTTTTGACCAAACACTCAACAAATACCATCCAGCAACCACCATATTCACCAGATATGGCTCCTGCTGACTTTTTTCTTTTTCCTAAACTCAAATTACCACTTCGTGGCACCCGTTTTCAATCGATAGAAGACGTAAAGGAGAATTCGCGGCGAGAACTAAACTCAATTCTGGAAGCAGCGTTTAAAAAATGTTTTGATGAATAGATTATTCGTTGGCGCAAGTGTATCGTCTCTAAAGGAGCATACTTTAACTCGTTGAGTACCGTCATTACAGACAATTAAAGAACAATAGGTTGCGGTCACCGGTGACAGTTTAAACTGTCAAACACCGACCGCTCGGTGTTTGACAGTTTAAAGGTGATAAAATAAATTTGGATGAATAACAGACATTTTTGTATTATTGATCTTTTCCCGGTACTTTCTTGACAGAGTAGTACTTAGCACCAGCGTGTATAAGGCACTAGCTGTTGTCTGTTATTTGAAACGTTAAAATGTGTAGTCTATTTCAAGGACTAAAACATAACCAGCATATTTATTATAACACCATAAAGACGTCTTCTTGTTTTATAATAAGTTTTTACTGCGCTCTGTGATGGAATGTTAACAGCAGAAAAAATACCTATTAAACTTTAAAGAATGTTTGACTAAAATAATATAATTAAAACAACGAGAGATACTCTTACTAACAATCATTTATTATACTTTACAAAAGTTACAAAACTGTAAATTTACCGGTAAATTTCGTTCGTAAAAAAAGTAGGTATCAAAGTCCGTAAGAGTAGCAGTTGTTGTCAATTCAAAGGATTAGGTAACCAAAAGTCCACCAAACAAAATCCAAGTCGTCAATTAAACCAACAAATTAACACGAGTGCGCACAGTATGAAGCCGAAACAACGTGTGAGATAGATAGATCACCAACGCGCTCGCCCCTCTACTACCTGCTTCCCTGCCCCTCTACCCGCTCACGTATTTTCGGGTTACCTGTCGCTAAGAGCGGAGGATCACACACAAACAGACAGGATTTTTGTTTAATTTCATTTTCTTTCATTTGATAGTAGGTACCTAAGGATAATAAGAACGTTATTACTGCAACATGAACATAAACAAAGTTAGATTAGCTCTAACTTGTAGTAATAGTTCTTAAATAGTACGTACTATATGATATGTACATAATCTACACATTACTTATTTGTTACATGTGTTAAATATGAAAAAACCCGAATATTTTCCCATTCGGGAATTTTCCCCGGGTTTTTTCCCGGTTTTTTCCCACATTCGGGTTTTTTCCGGGTAAAATCCCATCTCTAGTCTCTTATAATTATGTCAATCGCTTGTGGCGGTTAGACACGTGGGAACAAAAATGGATTGTACAAAAACAAATTTAAATAGAAATTATAAAGAAGCACAAGATTACCCGAAAACCTGTTTCACAGGCTTTGGTTTCGTCTGACCCTATTATGTCTAAATTTAAAATAAAGGATCGAAAAAGGAAAATAAAAATGGTTTCTTTACCTTACCACCTGTAGTATTATCTATATTAGGACTTATTGACGAAAAGGATCCAGGAATATTTATTTATTTATATATAAACATCACAGGCACACCTAATACAATAAATGCAGTTACATTATAAGTAAACTTATAAGATGAGGATTCGAGACAGCAATGAAATAATATGATTCATCTATAACAATAGAGTTTTATTTAAATAAAATAACAATATTTTAATAAAAAATAATAAACTAAGCAACCTCGGAATACAAACCTATAACAATGGAGAATCGACAATTAATTGTCACTGCTTTAGCCCGTCGATCCTCACTTAAATTCTTTAAATTAAATAACTAAAATAACAATCCTATATTAACGAAATAAAATTAATTCTTTACAATATTTCAATTTGTAGCTAGAATATTTTAATAGACGTTTGTTTTATGACACGTGTGTCACCTTATCCAAAGACAATGCAAAGCATGGAGGCTTTCAAACTTATTACACAATATCCCTTAATAATTTAGACAAAGAAAAACAAAAGAACATAAGCACATAGAACATTATTTAAACTTACAGGCTAATACATTTTCACAAAACTATCCCTAATAAACGTAAATAACTTTAATAATAACAAATACTTATATTTTTAAAATCTATGTACGTAGGTACTAACAACATAAATTATATAAATAGAATCAAATCAGTACAAATCCTAGGAACTCAGTTATTATTCACAACAGCCTCATATACTACCTTTGTGAACTCGTTGAGTGTACACGAGAATATATCCGTACTGGCCGCTATTGCATTCAATATGCGCAATGCTCGCGTCATTGGTGCCTTCTGCAAGAGGTTCGTGCGTGCGCACGGTACCACCAGCAGCCGCGGCCGCCGCCTATGCCGCACGTACTCGTCCGGAACACACAGCCGTAATTCCTCCAGTAGGGCAGGGTGGTGCGTTATACCTCGCAACACTTTATATATATACGCCTCACCTCCAGTTTGTAGTATCCTACCATACCCAGGCCCAGTACAAACAAAGTTGGATATGGTATTGGGTATCCAGGGTATGTACCGTACGATTTTGAATAAATGAATCTGACAAACTTATTTTGGATACGTTCTATCATGAACGTATCTATTATATTTGTCCTCATGTGGACTCCAGATACCAGAGTTACACTCCAAGTGACTTTTAACTAAAGCTTCATAGAGCGCCCTTAAAGCTGCGTTGTTATTGAACTCGTTTGCCTGACGTAAAATAAAACCTAGATTGCGGTATGCCTTCTTGTAGACATCCATAATGTGTTTCCTGAAGTGAAACTCTGATACAAAATGAACTCCTAAATCTTTCACCTCCGTAACGCGTTGCAACAGTTCACCTTCCATGCAGTATCGGTGGTGACGGGGACTGCTTGCACGAGTGAATGACAGAACTGAGCATTTAGCAACGTTGAAATACAACTTGAATTCCCGGCTCCACTCAATGATTATGTCAATATCGTGTTGTAAACTAACATGGTCCTCGTTATCCCTTATTTCGTGTTTAAGTTTTAGGTCATCGGCAAAAAGTAGGCATATCGACCCTTTTATTATGCTTGGTAGGTCATTTATCATTAAATTAAACAGTAAAGGATAATGAGTGTGTAGCGTAAAGCCTATTACATCAAGTTTCCTAAGGAGGACATCGTGATC